TTTTTTTTTTTTTTTTTGTTTTTTTTTTTTTTTTTTTTTTTTTTTTTTTTTTTTTTTTTTTTTTTTTTTTTTTTTTTTGTTTTTTTTTTTTTTTTTTTTTTTTTTTTTTTTTTTTTTTTTTTTTTTTTTTTTTTTAATATTTTCAGGTTTTATTTCCCAGCCAGCCCCCCGGGGCAGAGGCTGCTGCTGCACAAACCAACAGTGCGATAACGTGACCCCTGTGGAACCAGCTTTGGCAGTCTTCATCAATTGTAAAGAGGAGAAAGCTTCTCCTGGTTTGATTTAAAAAAAAAAAAAAAAAAAAAAAAAAAGGCAAAAAAAAAAATCTTTTTGAAGTTGGTTTCCAAGATAGATGCTCTACGGGGAGGGGAAAGCTTGGGAAGAGGAAGAGCAGGGAGAAGGGTGTTGGGGAGAAGGGGTCGCTGGTGCTGGACCACGGGAGCATCTGTCTGGAAACCGCCCCGGGGGAGGTGCTGGCACGAGGGTCTCCCCAGCCATCCCCGGCCCACTGAGGCACCCAGGGGTGCCCAGCACTGCCACGAGTCCCACTGGAGCCATTCCAGAGTCAATCCCCAGCTCGAGAGGCAATCCAAGACTCTCTCCCACCACCCAGACCCTGCCACGGGTCCCCCCCGAGCGCCGGGTCCACAAACCGAACCCTCGCCCCAAACACAAAGCCAAGCCTGGGCCGAGCTCAGGTGCCCCCCTGGCACATCCACCCCCTCGCCACAAACCCCCACAGCACCTTCCAGCTGCACATTCCCGGCCAGGGACACCCCAGGTGCCCACGGGACACTCTCCCAGCACAGCAAGGGTCACCCAGGCCATGCGCCCGCCTCCACCAGAGAGTTCACGTGTTCATATAAAACAACGTGGGGAAAACAGGGGGCAACTCAGCTTGCCAACATCAGCAGCACGGGGGGGGGGGGGACGGGACAGATAAACCCCAGACAATTCCCCCCTTGCCATCCCCTTCCCACGGATTTTGTGTGATTTTTTTTCTTGTTTAAAAAAGGCTGCGCCGCGCAGCGTCACCGACAGCGTCACCACACCAGCCCAAGGCATCGCTGCACTGCTCATCATTCAAGTATCTCTTAATATAAGACAACGAGGAATTATCTACAACTGATAAAAACAAAATAAGCTATAAGAAAGTAACAATGTACAATCAAGGTGGACTTTTTTTTTTTTTCTCTGTTCTTTCTTTCCTTTCTGGTTACAGGAGGCCTCTCCGGGGTGTCCCAGTGCCGGCATGGGGGGGTCTCCCCTCCTCACCACCTCGCTCCTCCCCACCCAGCCCACTGGGAGAGGGCTGACTGCAAGGGGGAGGCAGTTTTTGGGGGAGTTGGGATGGGGATGGAGCCGCCCTCCCTGACCCCCCCTGGGTCAGCTGAAAGGCCAGGAAGGGTGAGAGAAGACGGCCCCTGCCCTAAACTCCACCAACACCCCAACCATCCTCCCCCCCCCAGGTAACTCACACACACCTCCCTGAAACAAAAAACAACATATATTGCATAGTATTGCTGTCAGCAGTCTTAAAATAAAAAGGAGAACTTTTTTTTTTTTTTTCTTTTTCCAGAGACAGTGACTGACTTCAGCTGCAGACCCAGGGAAGCCTCTTCTCCCCTGGCTCAGAGCTCCCAAACCCTCAACCTGGGCACACGAGGCTGTTTTTGCAAAATATAAAGCTCCAAGCACTGAGTGTGGGCAGGGGCTGTGATGGGGGGGTGGCAGCAGTGGGGAGCAGGGGGTGTTGGGGGGAGCTGGAGGCCAGCCCGGCCCCCAAGCACCTCCTGGACAGACCAAGGACCCAGCCAAGGGGCCTCATCCAAGCTCAGCTTTCCAAGCCCTTCCCTGCCCTGCATTCCTTCCCTTCCCCAAAGCAAGCCCCGAGGAAAGGGCACTGCCTGAACACCTGTGAGCACGGATGCACATCCCCAGCCTCTGCCCCCACCGCTATCCCCAGGGCACTGGGCACCCTCTGTGCCCCCAGACCCTCCTGCCACGGCAGCCTCGGGGCCAGCCCGAGGCCACAGCGGCTCTCCCTGTCCCACAGCGGGTCCCGGCGCTCCTGAAGCAGCTCCTTGCTTCCCACAGAGCACAACTATTCCCAGAGGGAGTTCCTGGCTGCTCTGGCCACCTCATCCTCATCTCACACCTCCTCCACCAGCCCCTCCAGAAGCAGGGGGTACACCACCTGCCCTGGCACGAGAGCACAGCCCTGGGTGCTGGTGAATCCCCCAGCTCTGGCCTTACCCCCGGAGCGCGGGAGGGAGCAAAGGAAGACGTTTCTCTGCGCCCTGTAGAGAAGCACAGAGCACAACAGCTAGCAGTTTAAAACCAACAATCATCCAAAAAAAAAAAAACAATCGACAAAACAAAACAAAAAAAAAAAAAAAAGGAAAAAGAAAGAAAAGAAGGGAGTGAATAGCTTATTCTGGGATGCCGAGGAGAGAGGGCGGCTCGCCGGGACAGGGCACTGCTCCCTCGCTGGCACCGTCTCCCCCCGGCCCGAGCGGTTCCCTGCACAACACCCACCGTGTCCCCCCGGAGCAGAGCCAGGGACAGCCCCCAGCACGGGACGGAGGTGCCTCCCAGACCCCTCCCCGGGACAGGGGGAGGGTTCTGTGGGATCTACCCCAACAGCGGAGAAAAACCTGCAGCTCCGGGGGGAGGGACGAGGGTAAAACGCGACTCCCGCTGCTGGAAACGCGACCGAGGGTCTTTTGTTCACAGTATGAAACGAGCTGAGATCGTCAAAGCAGCCGCGGGTACAAAGAGTC